CACGAGCGTAGCTCTCATCCTGTAACTACACTTAGGTAATTACACTTAGGTAATTACTTGAGCCTTGGTGGTGGCAACGTTCTCGTGGTTTCCTCCCCGGGAGCCCCGGGGCTGCCCCGTTGTAGTTCGTTTTGGGACTTGGGGGGGGTGTTGGTTGCTTTGGTTCCATCCACGCCCCCTTGTCTTTCCCCTGGATCACCCTTCCTGCCTGCATCCGGTTCCTTACCGTCTGTAGGTTCGGGGCGGGGTTTTTGATGGTGTTGAGACTCGGGCACTCTCGGGGAATTCCCCTTCCGGGGTAATGACGGGGGCATTTGAGTCTGTTCCTCCAGCCGTGTTGTATGAGTCTGCCAGTGGGCTCCCTTTCTTAGTGTTTTCACGGCTGCCCCGGTTTTCTGGTACGGCCGGGGCTTTGGGGGAACCGCTCGGCCCCGGGGCCTGTCGTTTAGGTTCCCGGGGCTGGGGAGCGGCTGCCTTGGGGGGCCTTGGCCCCGTTGGACCCCGTGGGGGTTTTTATCCCCCTCTAGGCGGGGCTTGTGGTTACGCGGAGTGGGGTCTTTCCTCCCCACTCGCCGTACGTGCTGTTGGGCGTCGGCCCCTCCCCGGGCTCGGTTCCTTGGCCTTTGAGTCGGTTGGTTCCGTCCTGTGGGTGGATGTTTCCTCCCACCCCTTTTTGGGACGGTGTTTTCATTGTGTTTCCCCGTTCGATGGGATTCTGCGTGACTTCTGATCTCGGGTGCGCCTGCGCCTTCGTGTGCCTTCGGGACTAGTGTTGGCTTCTGTGTTCTCGAGGGTACGGGAAGGTTTTTCGCTACTTCCCGCATTATTGGAACGTCTCTCGGCTCCTCGTCCTAGTCGCCCTGTTGGGCTCCTTGTCGCCCTGTTGGGCTCCTTGTCGCCCTGTTGGGCTCCTTGTCGCCCTGTTGGGCTCCTTGTCGCCCTGTTGGGCTCCTTGTCGCCCTGTTGGGCTCCTTGTCGCCCTGTTGGGCTCCTTGTCGCCCTGTTGGGCTCCTTGTCGCCCTGTTGGGCTCCTTGTCGCCCTGTTGGGCTCCTTGTCGCCCTGTTGGGCTCCTTGTCGCCCTGTTGGGCTCCTTGTCGCCCTGTTGGGCTCCTTGTCGCCCGGTTGGGCTCCTTGTCGCCCGGTTGGGCTGCTTGTCGCCCGGTTGGGCTGCTTGTCGCCCGGTTGGGGTGCTTGTCGCCCGGTTGGGTTCCTTTTTGGGCTCTTTGCTTCTTTGGCCGGTTTTATTGTTCCTGCTTCCTCTTTTGGCTACTTTTCTCGTGCAGTAGTCCTGGCTGGCGCCTTCCCGCAGAGAGGGTGTGCGGTTCGGCCAGCGTGTTATGCGCATGCGCCGTGGAGTTTGTTTTGGTCTGGACGGTGTTTCAGTGCTGGTGTTTTGCGCCCTTTTTGCTACAGTGCTTCGCCTCTTGTTCTTCTCCCTGGCTGCGGTATGTGCCCCTTCGCGCCGGGGGTGTCCTGGTTCCCAGTTGTGGGGGAGGACACCGCGGTTTTCACTGTCATGGGTGTGGACCACCTCCTTCGCCTCTCCCTGCTCTCCTGCGGGTCCGGCAGGGTCCGGCTCTGGCGTCTTCACCTGGCGGTGCTCCCAGGTTCTTCTGGGCACGGTTGAGTCGTCAAGTTCGTGCCACCGTTCGCCAGGTGAGTTTCTGCGGTCTGGCGTCTTTTGGCCGGGCGCTTGATGCGGAGTTGTTTATATACCTGTCTTTATTTAGGTATGTTTTTGTACGACTGAGACCGTTCGCACACCAGTGACTGTCCCTTTTTCGACCCTTCCTGTCCCCCTCATGTGCATGTCCAACCCATGCTTGGATCATTCAGGGGACCCTCCTTTTTTAATGTTGAGAGGTGTGGGGGTTGTAGGGTTGGTTCTGTACTCACCTGGTAAGGCTCCTGGCTGTGCTTGCAGGATTTGAGCTCTGGCTCTTGGGTCCCGCCTATCTGGTAGAACTTGCGAGATAGTACCAGTGAAGTGCAGTGGTGCTATTGGCACAATTGGGGAACACTGTATTACCATCAGAGGTCTGTGCTTGTTACACGACCTACTTGCGAGCATAAGCCTTCTTGCTGGTTCGTCCGTGGATTTCTAGGGCACACTAGCCTGTTTTCGTATGGCAGTTCCGGCCCGTCCTGGTTGTGGGGGTATGTGGGTCGGTGGACTGCTCCTAGCAGCTGCCTGGTGGGCCACCCTCTGGCCGGTCTAGCCTGGCCTTGGGCCGGGCTTGAGGTGTAACAGAGCTACCAGTACCTCATCCAGCAGGTATCGAGCGGGGTTTTTCCGCCGTCGGTCGCCTGGTGCAGGTTTCTGGGCCTGCGGGGTTTTGTCGTGTCTCCGTTGGCCCTGTCTGGGGTCTGCCTGCTCCGTTCTCTGCCTTTGCAGAAGGGAGTTGCTATTTACATGTTGCATGTTGCTGTGGTGCCTGTTGCTGCTGCTGCACGTGTGCATTGGTACCGTGTTTCACGGCGGCGTGTCCTTGTTCCTGTGTCCGGTTGTGGAGTGGCACTTTGCTGCCATTTTGTGCCTGGGGATTGCGTGGGGGTTTTTCTGTCCATGCCTGATTGTCCACCCCTGGTTGTTATCCTGGGGTTTTTGTGCTACTGCTCTTTCTTCCTGCCTCCTCTGCAGCAGGGGTGTTCTGCGTGTGTTCTTAGGCGTTTGTCAGCCTGTGTCCTGTGATGTGCTTCTTTGTCTCGGTCTATTGCAGTTGTTCATACCCCTTGGTTCGGGTACTGTTCTGGCGATGGCCCTTCCGCCTTCTTTGGTTTTCTAGCTTGCCCTGCTGGTTTTTTTTTTTTTTGGGGTCTTGCGAAGTCTCGCGTCGACCCGTCGTTTCTGAACTCCTGGCGGGCTTGCATGCTTTGGGGAGTTTTTCTGTTCGGCAGACGTTCCATCTCCTTGTGCCGCCTGGGTTTCAGTGGTCGCGCCTGAGATCTTCCCGCGGCTCCGCCTTTTCCTGGGCTCGGAGGGGCCTTGTCGGGGCTTCTTATGTTCTGCCTCGCGGTCTCGCCTCCGGTTGGTGGTCGGGTGGCTTCGTGGTAGGTGTCCCACCTGTGTGCTTCTCTTGGCGGCAGTATGGGGTATTTTGGCGGTCCTTCCTTTTCCTGTCCCTTCTTAGGTGGTTCCTCTTGTTAGCTTGGTTTACTCTCGGCTTGGTTTTCTGGTGGGGGTTGGGGGCCGTCGTCTTGCCACATACTGTCGCCTCTTTTCGTGCGGCGTGGGCAGAGCCGCTTCAGCTTGCTTTCGGTCTTGGTGTTGCTTCTGCACCGTTTGTCAGCTGTCTTGTGCGTCGTTTCACCTCCGGCCTGTTCGTGCGCCGCTTGCACCATCCTGGTCTCTGGTCAGCGTGCTTTGTCTTCTCCTCGGTTGGTAGTGCCCCTTCGGTTCCGGTGTGTTTTTTCGTCGGCTCTTTCCTTTTGGCCTTTGCCTCTGGGGGTTGAGTCGCTGAGTTGTCTTGCTCCTTCGGTTTTAGCGTTTTGGTTGTTCAGTGGCAGCAGTCTCCATCTTTTCTGGTGCGGGGTGGGGCTGCTGCGTTCTGGAGGGGTCCAGGGTTTGTTGGTGCTTCGTTGGTCGGGCCGGGGGTGTGTCGTTTTTGTGTTCAGTGGCGGCCCTCCGCTGTTATTTGTGTGCCACGGTGTTTGGGTCCGGAGTGCGTTTTGCGTTGATCCGGTTCTGTTCTTCCCGGTTCGCGAGTGATAGTGTCCCGGGTGGTCAGCCGTGTCCTTGCTGCTAAGCAGCCTGTGTTCTTCCCTCATGCCTGTGGCGTTCGTGGCTTCGCTGCTCTCGCTGCCGTCTGGGCGATGTGGCCTTGCGGTCTTTTGGGCATAGATTTTTGGTGTTCGTGCAGGGGCCTTGCTGCTCGTTGTTCTCGTGTTGTTCCCGGGACTTTTCGGGGCTGTGGCGCCTTGGGTTGGCGTTTGCTGCCGGTTGTCTCGCCTCCTTTGGGGGTGAGTGGTGTCCGCCTCCCGGTTCTGTCCCTTTGACCTTCCTCTGTGGGTAGTTAGCTCCGGGGAGCCGACGGGGCTCCCCCCAGAAAACCAGCGTTGAATGTAATGAAACGCCATTTTCTGGGCGAGACCCGGAGGCTCCCCGGCAACCCTCCCTCCCTCCGGTCGGCTGTTTTTTTCGCGTGTTTTGACATCCAGCCTCAGAACTGATGGGTGGATAGCCGGCGTGGGAGGTCTGGGGCTCCCCCTTCCCCCTCCCGGGGAGGGGGGAGCTGCGCAGACAGCGGCGCGGTGACGTATGATGTCATACTAGTTTCCTTGTTTCCTGTTGAAGAGTTCTATCCACTAGTTCGGCTTTAGGTAGCAATTTTCACCAGAATAGGGGTTTGTTTTGGAATGCTTGCCTTTCTGGATGCTTGACCCGGTCGATGGCAGACATAGAATGCTTCCAACCACACGGGGGTTTCTATAGGCCATTGCTCCCCTTGCCTCTCTGAGGGGGCCAGGTTCTGGCTCGTGGTCCCCGGTAGGCCCTAGAACTCCATACACATGACTGATGCCAAAGTCTAACATTAGCATATCAGCCGGTAAAGCTCCGGGGAGCCTCCGGGTCTCACCCAGAAAATGGCGTTTCATTACATTCAACGCTGGTTTTTTTACTTACCCATACTGAGGGAAGGGTTTTTGACACTTTAAAAAAACAAAAGAATTTTTTCAAGAGTATTTATTTCCTGCGCACTGGGGGGGCGGGTGTCATATTTATAGGCTGCACAGTTAAAGGGTTAATGGAGCCACTGGGGGGGGGGGGGATGGGCTTTTTGGGCCCAACCCAAAAAGACAAATTTTTAGTTATAATAGAGGAAAAAATTAAAGATTATCATGTTATAATAACATCAAGATACATTAAATGGGTTCTAGGTTTAATTTATTTGGTTAATTGGGAGATTATTTTTTTTTATATTTTGCAGTTAATAATTTTAAATTTAATTCCTTCATGTTTTTATATAGTATTATATTCCTACATAACCTTTGTCAACAGAAGTTATTGACAACTATAGATGGACAGACAAGGGCTTCAAACGCTGGCCTTTAGGAGTGAGCAGCGCTGAAACAAAATTGCAATGTTACCATTGCCCTATGAAAATGTCTCGGAGTGCTATGTGCACGGCTTTAATGAGGCATGAATTTAAGCACACATCTGCATCTCCTGATTTACGAGTTATTCATTATATGCCTACAAGAGAATTCAGGGAGTTTATTGTCATTGCAAATGCCACAAAACAGGTATGTATTTTTTACCCTTGTAAAAAGCTGTCTGCTATTATTATTATCAATTTGCATTTGCAGACCTGTGATGGTATTGTCTTTGTTTATATAATCATAAATTATTGTAGAACTTCTATTGGTTTTAGTGCACAGAACCACCACTTCTAATTTATCCCACCCAACTGCTACCATTAGTATAAAAATATATCCTGCTACTTTATACACCTTTTCTAGGGGGGGAGCCCCGTCGGCTCTCTAGAGTTATCCAAGTGATATGGATATATTAGCTTTCTGGCATTAGTCAATGTGCATGGAGTTCTTGCCTACCGGGGACCATGAGCCAGAACCTGGCCCCCCCTCAAGAGAGGCATGAGGAGTGATGGCCTATAGAAACCCCAGTGTGGTTAGAAGCATTCTATGTCTGCCATCGACTGGGTCTGGCACGCAGAGAAGTAGGCACCCCAAAACAAACCACTATTCCGGTGAAAATATTGCTACCAAAAGGCGAACGAGTGGACAGAACTCCCCAAATGAAAATTAGCAAATGAGTATGATGTTATGACGTTGCAGCGCCGCTGTCTGTGCAACCCCTCCCCTCCCCAGGAGGGGGGAAGGGGAAGCCCCAGACCCTCGTGTCGGCGCTCCATCCTTTAGTTCTTGACTGATGTGATACTGGCAGGTCATGTGCCTCTGGCTCCAGATTTTCTCTATTTCTGTGCCTTGTGGCATGGTCTGTCTCTATGGGTGGTGTGTTAGCCAGGAATAGTATTCTTCAGTACTCTGGCTGCATGTGCTTAGGGTTTGCTTTCCTAGGTGCCCTGTAAGTACTGCCCTTGGGGCTTGGGGGGCCACTTTCCACAAGTCACCTTGGGATCTACCTTTGCTGTGTCTTTTACTGCTCGATATATGGCCACCCTTGAAGTCAGCTGGAGTTTTTTGTTGCCCTTGTTTGCCCCTGGGTAGGAGTTAGTTTTCGTCACTGGTAGGGGTGCAGTGTACTGCACAGCTAGTTATCACCTATTATAGCGGCCGGCTCTGTTCTGCCTGGATACATTGTCCTCTTGTGGGGTTTTTCTTTTGTTTTTGTTTTCCTGCCTGGTGTGCAGGGGGGGGGGGGGGGCTCTGCCTTTGGTTGTCCCCTATCCATACTTAGGGTATATATATGCATATCTGTGTTCTTGGTGGTATTTTCTGCTTGGCCCCCATGAGTGGACTCATCCCGGGGGTTTAGCTTTTAGAAGTTTGCTTGGTAGTCTTGGGCTCCAGTTTGCAGTACCCTGCCTGGGCTTCCCTTAATGTGTTAATAAGGCTAAGGGTCATGGGAAACCCTGCGGGAGCTCCATGGTTCGATGGATGTGACCCTCAAGTCCCCTCTCGCTTCTTGCGAGGTTGATAGTTGCTCTGTCTCCTTGTCTCAGGGAGACAATCACAGGTTGTGCCACATGCTGCCTGTCAGGTCGGTGATTCTTTTGACCCGGAGTTGTGCGACGTTCGTTGTTTGTACATACCCCAGTTCATCCAAGCTACTGATCGTGATATGCGGGTGCAGGCAGCTGATGCATTGCTTGCTAGGTTTAGGTGTCTGCAATGCAATAGGTTGGTTGCTTCCCCAGATGCCCAGAGACTGCCCCGTTTTGGTTTTAGAGACCTGGACTTGGAGGGTGGGAGTCGCTTCAATTTTGGTTTCGTCTGCCCCTCCTTGTCCGTTTCCTTGTGTTGTGCGTTCGGTTCCTCCCTCTTTGCTTTCAGCTCCGAAACGTCCGAGGGTTTCAGAGTCGAGGCAGGGTCTAGTTGGTGTTGAGACTCGGGCAGTCTTGGGAGAGTCCCCTTCCAGGGTGGTGGCAGAGGCAATTGAGCCTAGCTGGAGCTTCTGGGTCTGAGCAGTGGACCCCCTTCATTCCTGCTTTTTCGGTGGCTCCTGCATTTTCTTTAGAGGCGGGGATGATTTGGAGGACAGCTCAGCCCCGGTCTTCGGGGTGAGGACCCTGGTTCTGTAACTACGACGGTTCTTTGGTTCTGTCCTTCCGGAGGTTTTCGGCTTCCCGTGTTCCTTCACATGTGGTGCGGGAAGCCCTTGTGGCTTACCTCCTGCGCGACCTGGATTATGCTTTCGTAATAGATCTGTGTTTCTTTCTCAATGGATCTTAGTGTGTTACTGGGTTTGTTATGAAGTTCCAGAGTCCTGGTTAGCAAACTCCCCTCTCTTCTCTTTGGAGGCATGGCATACATTCTGTCGATCCCGCATGCTTGAGTGGTGGGAGGCTCGGATAACGTTGCAGGTTTTCCTGGGGGGTGAATTCCCATTGAGATGCATGCAAACAAGCATGCATCTCAATGCATGCTTGTTTGCCCCTGCCCTTCTGTGTGATGTTGGTGTGATACAGCTTCATGTGCAGATTCCCTCCCTTTCGGCGGTGCTTGTTCCAGAGGACTTGCTCACCCGGGGCCTTTTGGCTTCGGCCTTGCCGTTCTTTTTCCTCCTGGAGCTGTCCTCGGATTGACTCGTGGAGGATGTGAGGGCGCTTGGGTCCGTCCTGAGGTCCAGCGCCTTGTTCTCGGCGGCTCGCTTGTCGGCTGCCTTGCTGAAGCTTTTCGCGCCGATTTTGAGGGATGTGGTTTCCCTGTTCAATGCTTCCTGGCTCGCATGTTGGCAGGCAGTGCTGGGTTCCTCTGTGGAATCTGCTTGGGCCCTGGCTCTTAGGTTGTCGGCGCCTTTTTGTCCTCTTCTGTTTGAGGCATCTGCCGTAACACAGTTTATCCAGGCTGCTTCGTCTGCTTGTCGTCCGATGTCGAACTTGCTGGTCCTCCGGGGGTCCCGTGGGGGGTCTTCGTGCCAGGACTCGGGGTTCCTCTCGTCATGGTAGGCCACTGGTGTCAGGTTCGGGTTTGGCTCCTTCTTCGGACCCGCCCTTGTATGGTCGGCACAGTGATCGCTCTGTGTGGGGTTCTGGGTCTTGTAAGGGGCGCCGGCCCTTTTGCTGTTTGCCCCATTGACGGGGCGATCAGGGGGACGCTTGCGCTGTTCACTCATGCCTGGTCCCACAATTCGTGAGCATTTTGGGTTGTGTCTGTCGGTCTGCGGTGGCGTTGGGTGGCCCTCCCCCTTTGGGGGTGTCGGGGCTGGCAGGGCAGGTTTCTTCCCCTGCGCTCTGTCGGGTCATTCCTCAGATGGGTTTCCCGTCTGTTTCCGGTCCAGAAACGGGACTGCGCGGGCCTGCGGTTCATTCTGGACTTGTCCCGTCTGAACCCCTGGGTTCATTGCCCCTCCTTTCGGATGACTATGCTGTCCCAGGTTCGCCTCCTCTTGGATCCGGACGCTTGGATGGTGTCCCTGGACCTCCGGAACGCTTATTGGCATGTCCCAATTCATCTGAGGTTCCGGGACTGGCTCGATTTTGTTGTGGGGCGTCTATGTTACCACTTTCGTTGTCTCCCGTTCGGGTTGAACCTGGCACCTCGCGTGTTCACACTCTTTACACGGGTCGTGGTGGCCCGTTTGCATCTCTTGGGTGTTCGGGTGTTGGCCTATCTCGACGACTGGCTGGTTTGGGCTCCCAGCCGGTCGGCTTGCTTGCTAGCCAGGGATTTGGTTCTTTCCCAACTCGCAGGGTTCGGGTTCTTGGTGAAATGAAAGAAGTCCCATCTGGTTCCCTCTCAGGTTCGGACTTGGCTCGGTCTCGTTTGGGACTCTCGGACCACTTCCTTGTCTCTCCCTCCGGAGTCTCTCCTGCGGCTGAGGTCCCGCCTTTGTCTGTTACTGGTGGGCCCTCGGGTCACCCGGTGGTTGCCGAGGGGCTGTGCGGAAGCCTAAACTTCGCAATGTTCGTCTAACCGCCGGGTCGGGTTTGGCTTCGTCGGCTGTTCTGATTCTTTCGGGTTCGTCCCTTCTGCCTCTATTGCGATCGCTGGGTTCAACCCGTGGGGGCCTTGCGTCGGCAGCTGCATCGCTGGCCTCCTCTCTGGGTTTTTCGGGGTTCAGTGCCTCAGCACCTACCTGAGCCCTCGCTCGATATGTTCGCAGACGCTTCGTCTCTCTTCGTCTTTCGTCGATGCCAGCTCGGGTTTTGTGACCAGTGCTCACCAGGCCAGCCAGGGGTGTTGGGGTCCACATTGAACCTACAGCACAGTGCGGGAGTTCGCAGCTGTGTGGTCTGCTCTTCGGAGGAGTCGGGTCGCCCGCGGATCGACAATTTGGTTCCATTCAGATTGCTCTCCTGTGGTTCATTGTGGTTCTATCCACTAGTTCGGCTTTTGGTAGCAATTTTAATCAGAATAGGGGTTTGTTTTGAGGCGCTTACCTCTCTGGGTGCCTGATCTGGTCGATGCCAGACATAGAATGATTCTAACCACACGGGGGTTTCTATAGGCCATTGCTTCCCTTGCCTCTCTGAGGGGGCCCGGTTCTGGCTGTGGTCTCCGGTAGGCCTAAGAACTCCATACACATGACTGATGCCAAAGTCTAACATTAGCATGCGTAGCTCGTTACCAGAACATACCAGAACAATACCAGAACCGCCTGGGATAGCTCCGGGGTGCCTCCGGGACTCACCCAGAAAATGGCGTTTCATTACATTCAGCGCTGGTTTTTTTCCATCACATTTTCATCATCTTAACTATCCTCTTGTTTTTCTTCTTTGTAGTAATTGCAGTTTGCCATCTTTCCTCATAATGCCAAAAATGCATCTAATATTAATCATTCTACTGCTCTAATATAGTTTATTATTTATTTTGGAGCTTACTGTTATTATTATGCTGCTCTCTTAGATAAGATTGCAATGTCCAGTGGACTGAATCATGCAGTCAAGCAGGATGATATATTGTACTGCACCAGTGCCATAATGAACCTTACAAACTGTCCCTTTAGGGTTAAAATAGTGTTAGAGAGTTGAAGACTTTTCAGTACAATCTAGAATGGTAGCCTGATTCATCCATAAACTCATAACCTAACATAAATCCGCAAATAAGTGATACAAAAATTATTGCACCTTCACCCATCTCCAGGTGGTGGGTCTTGTGCCTCAGGCTTTCAACCCCACCCTTGCTTTCCCCATTTTTCCTGTGCTCATAAATGGTTTCTTTGAGTTGGGAAGTATGTGGGTAATTCCAGGTGTTGGGACTAGGTGTGTGTAATTACACATTACCTAAGTGTAGTTACAGGATGAGAGCTATGATCGTGGTGTCCCATCTTCCCAGCACTCTTTGTCATATAACGCTTTGACACTACTGATGGTCTCGGCCTCCACCACCTTCTCACCTAACTTGTTCCAACCGTCTACCACTCTGTTTGCGAAAGTGAATTTTCTTATATTTCTTCGACATCTGTGTTTAGTTTGTTTAAATCTATGGCCTCTTGTTGTTGAAGTTCCAGGTCTCAGGAAATCTTCCCTATCAATTTTATCAATTCCTGTTACTATGTGTGTGTGTGTAATTACCTAAGTGTAATTACCTAAGTGTAGTTACAGGATGAGAGCTACGCTCGTGGTGTCCCGTCTTCCCAGCACTCTTTGTCATATAACGCTTTGAAACTACTGACGGTCTTGGCCTCCACCACCTTCTCACTTAACTTGTTCCAACCGTCTACCACTCTATTTGCGAAGGTGAATTTTCTTATATTTCTTCGGCATCTGTGTTTAGCTAGTTTAAATCTATGACCTCTTGTTCTTGAAGTTCCAGGTCTCAGGAAGTCTTCCCTGTCGATTTTGTCAATTCCTGTTACTATTTTGTATGTAGTGATCATATCACCTCTTTTTCTTCTGTCTTCTAGTTTTGGCATATTTAATGCTTCTAACCTCTCCTCGTAGCTCTTGCCCTTCAGTTCTGGGAGCCACTTAGTAGCATGTCTTTGCACCTTTTCCAGTTTGTTGATGTGCTTCTTAAGATATGGGCACCACACAACAGCTGCATATTCTAGCTTTGGCCTAACAAAAGTCATGAACAATTTCTTTAGTATATCGCCATCCATGTATTTAAATGCAATTCTGAAGTTAGAAAGCATAGCATAGGCTCCTTGCACAATATTCTTTATGTGGTCCTCAGGTGATAGTTTTCTATCTAGAACCACTCCTAGATCTCTTTCTTTATCAGAATTCTTTAAAGATTTCTCACATAATATATAGGTTGTGTGGGGTCTATGTTCTCCTATTCCACATTCCATAACATGACATTTATTAACATTAAATTCCATTTGCCAAGTGGTGCTCCATATACTTATTTTGTCCAGGTCTTTTTGAAGGGCATGACAGTCATCTAAATTTCTTATCCTTCCTATTATCTTAGCATCATCAGCAAACATGTTCATATAATTCTGTATACCAACTGGTAGATCATTTATGTACACAATAAACATCACTGGTGCAAGAACTGAACCCTGTGGTACTCCACTTGTGACATTTCTCCATTCTGATACATTGCCTCTGATTACTGCCCTCATTTTTCTATCAGTCAGAAAATTTTTCATCCATGATAGAAGCTTACCTGTCACCCCTCCAATATTTTCCAGTTTCCAGAACAACCTCTTATGTGGAACTCTGTCGAAAGCCTTTTTTAGGTCCAGATAGATGCAGTCAACCCAACCATCTCTTTCCTGTAATATCTCTGTGGCTCGATCATAGAAACTGAGTAAATTCGATACACAGGATCTTCCAGATCGAAAACCATACTGTCTGTCTGATATTATATCATTTCTCTCTAGGTGTTCTACCCATTTAGTTTTGATTAGTTTTTCCAATACTTTCACTATTACACTTGTTAATGATACAGGTCTATAATTGAGGGGGTCTTCCCTGCTGCCACTTTTGTAGATTGGAACTATGTTAGCCTGTTTCCACCCGTCTGCTACGATTCCTGTACACAGGGATGCCTGAAAGATCAGGTGAAGTGGAATGCTGAGCTCAGATGCACATTCTCTCAGAACCCATGGTGAAACGCCATCTGGGCCAGCTGCTTTGTTCTTACCGAGCTCCTTGAGCATTTTTTCCACTTCGTCTCTAGACACCTCTATGTGTTCTATGTTGTTCTCTGAAATTCTTATTGTATCTGGTTCCCTAAAGATTTCATTTTGTACAAACACACTTTGGAACTTTTCGTTTAGTGTTTCACACATTTCCTTTTCATCTTCCGTGAATCTATTTCCCATTTTCAACCTCTGAATATTATCCTTTACCTGCAATTTGTTGTTTATGAATTTATAGAATAGACCTGGTTCTGTTTTACATTTGTCCGCAATCCCTTTTTCAAAATTTCTTTCTGCCTCTCTCCTCACTGCCGTGTAGTTGTTTCTCGCATCTTTGTATCGCTGGTATGTTTGGGGGTTCGGCCTCTTCCTGTATTGATTCCATTTTTGTGTCTTTCGGTGTAATTACCTAAGTGTAATTACCTAAGTGTAGTTACAGGATGAGAGCTACGCTCGTGGTGTCCCGTCTTCCCAGCACTCTTTGTCATATAACGCTTTGAAACTACTGACGGTCTTGGCCTCCACCACCTTCTCACTTAACTTGTTCCAACCGTCTACCACTCTATTTGCGAAGGTGAATTTTCTTATATTTCTTCGGCATCTGTGTTTAGCTAGTTTAAATCTATGACCTCTTGTTCTTGAAATTCCAGGTCTCAGGAAGTCTTCCCTGTCGATTTTATCAATTCCTGTAACTATTTTGTATGTAGTGATCATATCACCTCTTTTTCTTCTGTCTTCTAGTTTTGGCATATTTAATGCTTCTAACCTCTCCTCGTAGCTCTTGCCCTTCAGTTCTGGGAGCCACTTAGTAGCATGTCTTTGCACCTTTTCCAGTTTGTTGATGTGCTTCTTAAGATATGGGCACCACACAACAGCTGCATATTCTAGCTTTGGCCTAACAAAAGTCATGAACAATTTCTTTAGTATATCGCCATCCATGTATTTAAATGCAATTCTGAAGTTAGAAAGCATAGCATAGGCTCCTTGCACAATATTCTTTATGTGGTCCTCAGGTGATAGTTTTCTATCTAGAACCACTCCTAGATCTCTTTCTTTATCAGAATTCTTTAAAGATTTCTCACATAATATATAGGTTGTGTGGGGTCTATGTTCTCCTATTCCACATTCTATAACATGACATTTATTAACATTAAATTCCATTTGCCAAGTGGTGCTCCATATACTTATTTTGTCCAGGTCTTCTTGAAGGGCATGACAGTCATCTAAATTTCTTATCCTTCCTATTATCTTAGCATCATCAGCAAACATGTTCATATAATTCTGTATACCAACTGGTAGATCATTTATGTACACAATAAACATCACTGGTGCAAGAACTGAACCCTGTGGTACTCCACTTGTGACATTTCTCCATTCTGATACATTGCCTCTGATTACTGCCCTCATTTTTCTATCAGTCAGAAAATTTTTCATCCATGATAGAAGCTTACCTGTCACCCCTCCAATATTTTCCAGTTTCCAGAACAACCTCTTATTGTTGTGTTCTTATTGGTGTGTGTGTGTGTGTGTGTGTGTGTGTGTGTGTGTGTGTGTTGCTGCCTTGTAATAGTCTACATAGGTATTTATGTAGTCCTAACTTACCAAATCTACACAGTAAAATAACAACATACTGGAGTGAACGATATGGAAGAAAATGCAGAATAGAACCAGTGAAGAGTAGGGATGTCATAGGCACAATTAGAGAACACTGTATAAACATCAGAGGTCCATGGTTGTTCAACATCCTCCCAGTGAGCATAAGAAATATTGCCTGAACAACTGTGTACATCTTCAATAGAAGACTAGATCATTTTCTCCAAGGAGTGCCAGACCCACTGGGCTCTGGTGGATATGTGGGCCTGCAGGCCACTGCTAGCAACTGCCTGGTGGACCAAACTCTCACAAGTCAAGCCTAGCCTCGGGCTAGGCTTGGGGAGTAGAAGAACTCCCAGAACCCCATCAACCAGGTAACTTCATGTTAGGGCTACATAAAGTTTGATGTAGCTTCATTTCAGATATTAGTTAACCACTGCACTGCGCAAAGCGCCTTTAGGCGCTCTGAGATTTGTGCTTTTTGTTTTTTAATTAGGCTATATTTTAATATTTTTAAATGTTTTCATTACTCTTTCTGTTTTGAAATGGAAATAGTTGACTTTGGAAACATTTTGACATTAACTTTACCTGAACAATTATAAAAATAACAGAAATATATCCTTGAGAATTGCACCAAGACATTTTTGCCGAAAATGGGTGAGCAGTGCAAGGGTTAAAGCCCTTCCTGGGAAGTTGCTTGTCATAGCAAAGAAAGGTTTAGTCATTTTAGGTTGGGTTGAATATTTTCCAGTGACTCCATAGCATTAGTGTTACTATGCATGGGCACCTTGCACCATCAGTGAAGTATTTCATCCTGCCTGACTGCTTGATACTGTCCAGTGGGTACTGTAAATCATACCCTAGGAAGCAGCAAATGCATGCTTTTTATACACTCAAAGTTTAATTTCCTTATTTTTAGATGCAGGCAACAACAGAGTTATCAAGAGAAGGTTGGGAGAATATGGAACTTGAATCTGAAGCGCCCCTCCATGTTTCTTCAACACGTCTTAAACCTGTTATGGTGTGGGACTTACTCACCAGAGATGCCAGCAATGCTAATATTACTGGTGTTGTTACAATGGAAATAATAACACCCCAGCCAGGAGGAGTCTATCTGAGTACAAAATGTATTAACGTTTTATCTTTTCTTTTATGCTAAACATACTTTTAGTATGTTCTTGTGTGCATGCATGTACTTATGGGTAGTTGATTTTACTTAAATTTTGTCAATACTTTTTATTATGAAGATATTGTATATTATATAAATTTTCATTATACAACAATAGTGGAAGTTATACATATAGTTTTCATTATACATATAGTTTTCATTATACATATTGTATAATTTGAAATATTTTAAATTGTACAATATGAAGTTCAATACCAATTTTCAGATGATGCCCCTGACCTGTTGCCATGGGAAGAGCTAGGAAAGCTTCAAATACAGCCAAGATTATATCAAATTGTTGAAGTGTGTGATAAAATTAGTGAAGCTAAGGCTTACCTTGTAAGAATGTGTTACACCTCTCCTAAAGTTCCACACAGAGTGCTGGTGCACTACCTGGGTGACACAAGACCATACCTAGTAAGAGAATGTGAAATTATCATTGATGATTATACGGGAGAGCCGTCTTACAAAACAAAAGGACTGTGTAAGTGAACCTTTGTTCCATACATTTTACCATCTTGTGTAATTTATGGCTTTAATATTTTTAAGAGGCTTGCCTAAACTGGCTTTGTTTCAGCAATATTACAGAGATCTTTCCTAAGCAGGCCCCCCCCCCCCTCAGTTGCCTCCTGAGCTAGGGCCGGTGTCCACCCTGGGTGCTGATCGAACATCAACTTCGAGCATTACCAGAACAAGTAACTGATGCCTGCCCTCAGTCTTCGTTAGAACTTACCTATCAATGACAATGGGAGATTGAGGTCTGACTATTTATACCCCTCTGATCCTTTCATACCTGGCATGCTAATTACATCTCTTACATTCTAGTTCTTGTTATATTTTTGGGAGGGCCCCCCTCATTAGCTTCCTGAGCTATAGCATTGGGCTGCCAAGGCTTTGTGTATGAGACCCACCTAAGACTGCTGGGATCCAGGACTATTATTTGGTTCTCTCTGAAGCTAGGAGAGCTTGGAGATCAAAGCTCATCCCAATACCTAGAAAAGCCTACCAGAAAGTATAAGAGCATCAAAACAAGCAACTGTTCAAAAGAAATTATTAACCCTGAGTAAAACTAGGCAAACAATCTTTGGCGGGTCAATCTTTGCAGGCTGCTCCCATTGTAGCAGCAGCAACAGATGCTGCTGCTGCAATGGCAGAGGGAAACACTCTATCCTTGATGTGCCTTTCCATCGCCACATGACAGCCCAGGTCACTAAGAGTCCCTGTCAGTCACCACATACACTAGTGCAGCCAGGGTTGCATCTCTCTCTACTAGGCCTACATACACCTTTACACTTTCAAATAAGTGGTGTTTCTATCCCTGGAATGCTTTGCTCTGTGCAGTGGTCATTGCTTTGCTTTTGTTCCATTTTCTATGTTGTGTTTACATCTTGTACCACCTTCTTTATGTGGGCCCTGTATTTATATTTTGCACTGGCTGTGTTTGTAAGTTCCCTTTTCTGATAGCTGATTTTTGTCTTTCTTGCTCTACCACAGTTATCTACTCTGTGAGGTTTGAGTTTCCTCTTCTACAAGCTGACTTCTCTCAAGTCCTAACAGTTATTTTCAAATCACTAACAGCACATGGGTTTGTTTCCTACTGTGAGGCATATTGATGGGGAGTGGTATAAGTTACTTGTGTGTTTGTGTGAATATCACACCTGTCTGTGTTGCCTGTGTCGGGTCAGGCCCTGCTCTTTAAATGAGTGAGTACTTGGGTCACGTGCACATATAATTATACATGGGGGGGTTGAGCTTTGGTTCTCTGATCCCACCTTTTAACTATTAATAAATATAATTAGCTGTAGTAATTAAATGTAGTTACAGGATGAGAGCTATGCTTGCAGTGTCTTATCTTCCCAGTACTCTGTCATTTGATGTTATAAAACTACTGACAGTTTGTGGCCAGTATTTGTTGAGCTGAGATGCTGATCTGCCTGCTAGACCAGCAACCAGGAGGCCTGGTCGATCAGACCAGCAACCAGGAGGCCTGGTCGATCAGACCAGCAACCAGGAGGCCTGGTCGATCAGACCAACAACCAGGAGGCCTGGTCGATCAGACCAGCAACCAGGAGGCCTGGTCGATCAGACCAGCAACCAGGAGGCCTGGTTGATCAGACCAGCAACCAGGAGGCCTGGTCGATCAGACCAGCAACCAGGAGGCCTGGTCGATCAGACCAGCAACCAGGAGGCCTGGTCGATCAGACCAGCAACCAGGAGGCCTGGTCGATCAGACCAGCAACCAGGAGGCCTGGTCTATCAGACCAGCAACCAGGAGGCCTGGTCGATCAGACCAGCAACCAGGAGGCCTGGTCGATCAGACCAGCAACCAGGAGGCCTGGTCGATCAGACCAGCAACCAGGAGGCCTGGTTGATCAGACCAGCAACCAGGAGGCCTGGTCGATCAGACCAGCAACCAGGAGGCCTGGTCGATCAGACCAGCAACCAGGAGGCCTGGTCGATCAGACCAGCAACCAGGAGGCCTGGTCGATCAGACCAGCAACCAGAAGGCCTGGTCAGAGACTGGGCCGGGGGAGACATATAACCTTGATATCAACAACATGTAGTCAACAGCTGCCTGCACACCTCCATGTCTGATGTTGCTGTGTGTGTGTGTAGTTTCTCTATTTATGATTCATTGTTTCTGGACCCTGATGATCATCCAGCCTTGGTTTGTTTGGCTTCACAGCTTCCACTATTGTTGCAGGATCCTACATGCAACAATAGTGGAATGGTTCCTTGAGGAACCTGGCCATCATTTATACTTTGTCCAGTGAGGGCCATGTGCTTGTGTAGGTTGTAGATCCAAGATTTAGTGTTAGCTTCATGTGAATGTGTTTACAAGCCTCACTTGTTGTCTGGACTTTGGTTTTTGTGTATCTCAAGATGCATGAGCTTAGGACTGCCCTTCCCTAGATGTTTGTTTGATTTCACCCCCCCCCCCTCCCTTGCTCTGACAGGGTGACTTCTCTGGTAGGTTTGAGAGTTCGCCCAATAGAAGCCGGCCTATTGTGCAATGTGCCTCAACCTGAGTAATGCAAGATTTTTTACTTCTCTGCAAGGTTCTGAGGTTGGGGGCTTTTAAGGATTATTGATAAAGAGGTGCACTAGGGTTCACGTGCTTGTACATATTGCACGTTACTGATGCCTTCTTAGTCGTGTTTATCCTAACGGCTACATTTCGTGTCAGTTCTTTTGGCGGGCATTCCTAGTTCCTGGGTGTTCTGCTTGGGCATTACCTTGAGGCCCTGGCAAGCCTCACAGGTCTTTAATGTGACTGAGCATGGCTCGACCTGCTAAGTCTGTACTCGCTACTTATGAGTTTGAGGGATGTCTGTCAGTCTCACTGTCTTCCCTGCTGTCTGCAATGTTTGGGTTTGCTTGTCTTTTAATTTTAGCTTAAGCCTCCATCTTTTGTTTTCAGTGATGAGGCTTCACAAGTGGAACCTGCCCATTTTGGTTTTTGCAACTTGGTGCTTTATTTTCCTTTACCTGAAGTTGGCCCCCCTTTTGTTTTGAGATTTGGATTTTGAGCAGTTGGTATTTGTACTGTTGCTGTGTTCATAATTCCTTCTCTTTCCCCCTGTTAATCTCCATGGTTCAACAGACCCCTTGTGCCCATGCCCACTTGCTCTAGGCTCCAAGGACAATTATGGGTTTTTGAGTCAAGGCTGCATTTAGTTGTAGCCTTCTCCGAGGATTGCCCCATTTTAACACTTTCGCGCTCCAGCAGGCATCATGAAAAAAAATTTTATCTTAACCCAAGTGGGCCTGGCGTTTCGGGCGATCGAGCGGCAACATTTAAAAGTGTATACTCTTGTCACTGTCCTGACGTTAATTTTCGATGTACGTATTTCATTTTTGTACCAATGTGTTCGCAATAGAATGTTCTAGAAGAACATAAGTATAAAATGTCACCAAAACATAAGTTAGATCAGCACCAAATAAAAAACTACGTCGATCACTAGCCGTGAGCGCCAGACAGCAACGAAATGTTTCTACTATCTTCAGGGTTGTCAACTCCACACTTGTCCTACAGGGTTAATTTTGGTATCACTGAAATCGCAATAAAATTCTCTACACGGACATATGCATATAAATATAGAATCAATGTCGCAGCCCACCCACAAGAGTGTGGGAAGTGGCCGAAGTGTTACCCGCGGCGACATATCTGCGAAACCTGCATTGAAAAGTGTATATTCAATTCACTGTCCTGACATTATTTTTCGATGTACGTATTTCATTTTTGTACCAATGTGTTCGCAATAGAATGTTCTAGAAGAAAATAAGTATAAAACATCACATAAGGATGCGTTCGACCAGCAACAAATATAAAAACTACATCGATTATACTCGTCGTGTCAATAATACAATTGTTTTACCACGATGATTCACTGCCATGCCGTTCTCCCAAATAAGCCCTTCGGCTATTAGAGAAAACGTAAATTTCATGGCGAACATTTGTAAACTATACCCAAGTAGATCGGATAGAAATTGGAATTTATACAAATACTTTTTCTCAAGACTCCAGGCGGTGTCACCCATGCGGAAACAAGACAAAACTTTGTGACGATGTCCGGCGCCACCACTGGGTGAAAGTGTTAACACGAATCGGCTCTAATACACAATGTACCCAACATGACTTGAGCCCTGACTTTGTTGCTGTGGACTCTTCCCTTTCACAATATATACTTAAATGCTCTAATCTTTCTAACAAACATGACCTAACATAAGCTTACCCTTCCATTTATCTTTCTTTTTCTTTCCTTTTCTTTCTCTCTTCTCTCTTTTCTGTTCATTGTTTTCTTTGAGTTCCCTTACTATCCTCTTATTATTCCTATTACTATCTCATCATTCGGTGGTTAAGAGGAGCTGCCTCGTATGGGCCAATTGGCCCTTTGCAGTTCTTATTCATACTACTATCTCCTCTACTACACTTTGCTCCTCACCTCTCTCTAGCCAATTTATTGCCTGCATCTACTTCTTCATCACAATCGACTTGAGAATGGTCCAGGATGGACCGAAATGTCGTCGTCCCTTCACCTTCTAATGTGTGGTCTGGTCAACAAACCCCTATTCTGGTTATAACGACAAAATAGACAAACGACTGGACAGAACTCCCCAAATGAAAACGAGCAAACAAGCATGACATCACACGAGCCTTGCGACATGTCTGTGCAGCTCCCCCCTCCCTGGGAGGGGGAAGTGGGAGGAAGTGGGAAGTGGGAAGTGGGAGACCTCGCGCCAGCAATCCACACCTCAGTTCTTCGGCTGATGTGAGGCATCATGGTCGTGTGGCTCCAGCTCGAGACTCTTGTATTGTGCTCTGCCTTGGTTTAGTACTGCTCTTATGGTGGTGTGCGAGCTGGGAGTAATATTCCTTGGTACTCGAGCTGCATGCACTTAGGGGTTCCCTTAATCCTTAAGATGCGCAACACATCATATGATGGGTTGAGTGACTTGCTATAAAATGCGCATTACATCATA